TTTAAGTTTTCCCTCACCTGCTTTTAAAATTATGTAAAACTTTCTCAGATTAAGTTCAATGTTCATAATAAACGTCTTAGCAAAAAACAAGCCCTCGCTGGAAGTTAATTGCCGTGGCTTCCCCTGTGACAGGTACCCTCCTCGGCAGGATCACAAGTTCAAATGCTGTGAGTCAGCAGCCTTTCCTTTCGCTAACACACGAGGTTAGAAACAGGTCACACGCTCTGAGTCAAACGACTGCTTCCTTTCAGAGTATAATTCAAAATCTGACCTTTACTGAAAAATGTTACTATGCAGCAACACAATCATTCCCATCTTTAGTCGATACTAAGAGAGATTCAGAATGACTCTGTTGGATTTAGGAGCTCAGCTTTTGTGGGACTAAACCCACAAAAGCTGTTTAAAGTAGGCTGAAGATAAACAATTAATGACTATTTCTAATTTCATTAAATCTCAATTTCCCAAAACATAAATTACATTTATTCCCGGATGTAATGTTTATATGGCATACAAAATGGGAAAAAAAAATGAAATAGCACCTGTAAAACGAACAGCCAGGGGGAAAAAAGTAAAATATAGGGAGAACCATAAGTAAAAAAGACACTTAGTTATAAGCATTTGTTTTTGTGATTTTTCCTTTTTTTGTTTGTTTGTTTTTTTGGCTTTGGTTTTGCTTCTGTCTGACTTTGTGACGAGCTCGCCACCTTGTGGAGTTCTAGATACATGCAGTCGTACTGCCACAGCTCTTAATGTTGCCAACCTGGAGACTTGTTATTTTAACGATCTGTGGAGGAAGGGACTTATGCAAAGTGTTAGAAATATTATTTTCATTTAGTTAAGCTGTAGTGTTGATGTCTATGGCTGAAACATTTATATTCTACAGTTAGACTTTTTCTAGATATCGTTCCCATGTTGTAAAGAGGAAAGTATTTTTATATCCATTTTAATGCTGAAATAACCCTCCATAGATTTTTATATGAAACTTTGAAAACTTTTAGTTCGAAAAACAGAGTCAAAGTTTAAAAACAACTTTTGCAGCTTTAACTATAAAGGCATTAGCTACACCAATGTTTTCTTTTCTTTGGAGATCCCATCACAGAAGAAGATATGATAAATATTGAGTATGCCTTAATCTCAAGTTACCATTACCGTTACGTGTGTATTTCATTTTGTTTCATGTAGGTAATGAATTGTTATGAACAAAGAAGAGACAGATGAACTTGAAGGAAGCAGGCTTGTGATTTCTTTTGTAGTGTTTGCTTTAAGAGTCAACATATCAATACTTCATCAAAATTTCTCTATAAGCTCCACTGTGGAATAAGTGAATCAGCAAAGAGATGGTGTATTCAGATGGTAACGTATAGGCTGGTTTGTTCTATTTAATGGAAAGATCAACATCTTTTTAAAGAAAATCAAGTAAGTAGATGTGATGATAACAGCACTCAATGATAGTATACATATATAATATATGTGCATACATTGTGTGTATGTATGTGCATATATATATATATATATATGGCATTCTTAATATACTAGTATTCTAGCATGGTATTAAGCACTTTATAAATAGCCTATGAGCACCAATTTTAAGGAGAAGACCCAGAAGGATAGTCAGTTTGTGAAAGGTTAGAAAGCAAGAAAATTCAGATCTATATTTCTGATTGTAAACAAGCCAAACGATTTCCAAAATTATGAGACTCAATATTCACAATTACTAAACAAAAGATTAGTTCCCAACCCACATTCAAATACAAACTCATATAAACTCCTCAAACTTGACCAACATTGTAAAGTGAGAAGATCCACCAATATTATAAATGTGAGAAGACCCATATAACATGAATCACAAAAATACTGTGATATATATAATATAACTTGCAAAACAGTTTGTTTTATTATTAAAGAATATATTTTTCTATGGAATTTTCATTGTACAAATAATCCAGTTGATATCTTTATGAATCTGGAGTGGTGGTGTATGTTTTCATTGGAAAATGTTGTTTTGAACCCATTTGATATTTAGAATACATTTTAATAAAATAACTGCTTTGTTCAAGAGAATTGAATTATTCATGATTTTCCTGAGTTTTTTCCTGTTGGAGCTCCTCATAAAGTCACCCCTGACTGTTTGACTTTCTAAATAGCCTAAGTGATTCCAAACTCTCTTTTCGTAAAGAGAAATGAATGTCAGAACTGAGGTTTAATAAAGAAATCCTTGTTTTCTCCCACACACTCACATACTTCAAAAGACTCATGCAAACCACAGATCAAAAAGTTAAATTGTTTCTTTGAATGGTAGATTAGATGATTGTCTTTTATTCTTCAGTGGCTCTATGTCTGCAATACCAAGCACACACCCTCATGCACACACACAAAGACACACACAGACACAGATTCACGCTCGAAACCAAGTATGTGCTATAGGCTTTGAGTTTTTGCTTGTTAGAAAGACTGGGAGCGTAGAAGACCAAAGAACTTTTCTTCTTCACAGACTAGCCTCAAAATGCAGCCCATAGTATCCAATCTGATGTTTTTTCCCTGGAAGGACATGTTAAATTAGAGATGTTCAAAGTAGAAAAATCAAAAGTTAATCTCGGGTAACAGGTTTTGCCAATACTGCTGTTGCATAATTTATTCACTTCAGTACAAGCTTCTTCTTGTCTCTGGCTTTGAATTCCTCCTTTATAACATGAAGGAATTTGATAAAAAATATTTCTAATATTCTGGAAGTTTGGAATTTCTATGTTTCTATCACTTTTGCCTTGGCTACCACACTTCAATATTAAGGTTTTCTCTTTCTTCTAAATTTCTTTTCTATTTTGGAAATGGTAAACATCAAAGTAGTTTTTCTTTTTAAATAAAATACCATTCTGATTTTTTAATGTCTTGACTACTTTTCTCTTACTCAACATGATCAACTGTACCTACACCACTGGGTGCAGCATTTTCACTGAAATTTAATGACAGTGATTAGTAATGCAATGGTAAATTGGGCTATGACCAATTCATTGTCTTCCCCGGCCCCACCTATTATGTGCACACCTCCAGCAACAGTGGGACAGATGATCGGTCGCTTCTACCACGGGTTCTCAGAGGTCAGCCTGACATTGACCCCATCCCCTGGGAAACACCTCGCGGCTCCAGCTCCAGCCTGCCACCTCCACTCCATTTCCAACAGGGGTCTCCGTCTTGACCCATCAGAAGCAGCACAATGGCTTCTCTGGCTACGCAGCTCCTCCTCAGGTACCCAACTTCTCTTCTAGCCCTGACACACTGCAAATGGCACCATGCGTTGTGCAGGCCACAGCCATAGAATTGTTCTTGCCTGTCTCTTTTCCTCACATCCCACGTTCAATCCATCCGCAAAGCCTGACTTCCCGTCCTCAACACACACCCTGGGTCTCACCCTCCTCCCGCCTGCACTGCCGCTGCCCCCTCGGTGCCAAACTGCCTCTAATTCCCACACCAGGTGCTAGTCCCTGCTCCGGCTGTGCCCACCACAGTGGCATCTCCACAGAGGCTGAGTCACCTTCAGAGTGAAACCAGTTCCCTTCCGCCCCGGCAACCTCCATCACCTCCCGTCAGCTCAGAATGGAATCCAGATTTCTGTCTATGCTGCCCTTTCTGTGTCGTGTCTACTCTTCTCCCTCTTGCCCATGGGTCTCTAGTCACAACTACAGGCCTTCAAGATATTCCTCAAACACCAAATTTTTTTCCCTGTGCATTTTTGCCCACCTTGGACACTATCTCCCCACCCCCACCACAAGATCTTTGCATGGCCTTCTCAGGTGTCTGCACACCAGGTGCCACTAGAAAGGAGCCCTCCCAATTAACCCACATAAAACAGGACACCCACCTCCATCTCCATCCCCAACTTTATTTTACATCGTATCACTTTGACTATTACCAACACAATGGCTAATGTCTCCTCCACCAGAATAGGGTGAATTAAGATGAAGAAAGAACACAGCAACACAGAGAGGAAGTGGAGATTGTTTTCCACAGGCTTAAAGCAGCCCATGCAAATGTCAACAGGGCTGACCCATGGGGAAAGACCCAGGCACCTGTCTTTTCAACCACCACTGTGGCCTCCGCCACCGTCTCGGCTATCTGTGTGTGCATGTGAGTGTGCTTTCTCCTATAGCAAACTCACACCATTCTCAAAGATCCATAACAAACACCTGGGAAACCACAGATCTGGTGTTAGCATCACCTGAGGTAAATCCACATCTCTTCCAGGGTCTCTTTCCCCCACCCCTGGCCACCGAACTCACTGGTGAGTGTGGGTCCGGATCTAGTTCTCTCCTGCTACATTGTCTCACCAGCTTCTCTTCTGGATTAGGTTTCCTGCCCTTTTCATTTGTAATTCTCATCCTAATCCAAATCTGGACCAGTCCTTCTGCGGGGACACACTGGACGAGGCAGCTGGCAGAAGTGCATATGTTGAAGAAACACTCTTCAGCTCACTTCTATGTGGCCTCTCATTCCACCATCATCCTGGGACCACCACATCTTCATTTTATCACAAACACTTTCTGCCCCCAGCGAAGAAAAGAAGCCTCTCCGTTTACATATGTTGTTCATCTTAACGCGTTATGTAATCTCACCTGATGCTTAGGAATGATACTTTCTCAAACAATATTTCCCATTGTTTCAAAAGAGGACCGAAGACTAGGAATGCATAACCCAATGTTGGGTCCAAAATACTCGAAAGGAATAGGGGGAGTTTGCATATACACTCATATTTTTTATTTCGATTTAAAAACTAGTAAAATAGAAGTATAGGTTCACACGCACATACACACATGCAATTTCACCTAAACATTCAATAAACAGTTATAACCTTGTTATATGGATGGCTCTAATAGTATCAAATGATTATCTTTTAATCACCATTAATCACATTTCTACTCTGAGAAGTAAGAAGCCAATGTAAGACTGCAAATTGCCACCGCAGTTTGAAAGCAGAAGCTTTAGATAGAAAATGCTTAGTCACTCACCGGTGTGCATATGAATTATTAAGGTGAAGTCCGTATTTTTCTTCAGCAGATAACCCATCCATTAACAAGTAGAAAACAAGAAAATTGCTCTGGCCAAGAGGTTGTGAAACAAGTCTGGATTTCTCTAGCATGTATGTATAAATTCTGGCTGGTTAAGAAAAGAAAAGGGATTCTGTTAAATGGCATTATTAGATTTCATTTCCATAAATTTACACATATTAATTAATTATAAGATATAATAATGCAGCTTCTTTTCCAGCAGAGACATTTCTAAAAAAATTAATAGACTTTATTTTCTAGAGCAGCTTTAGATTTCCAGAAAAACTAAACAGAAAGTACGAAGAGTTCCAGTATAGCCCCTTATCCACTACCTCTAATCCATTGTTTTCTGTATTATTAATATATTTTATTAACATGGTACATTTGTTAAAATTGACAAATTCTTATTAACTAACTAAAGTCCATAGTTCACATTAGTCTTCGCTCTTTGTGTTGTACAGTTCTGTGGGTTTAGAGAAAAGTATATCATCAGGGATCCACTGTTATAGTATCCTATAGAATAGTTTCACTGCCCTAAACATCTAAAAATCCCCTGTGCTCCACTTACCCATTCATCCCTCTGGCTTAACCCCTGGCAACCACTGATCTTTTTATTGTCTCTATAGTTTTGTCTTTTGCAGAATGCCACATAGTTGAACTCGTACATGTGTGTAGCCATTTTAGACTGGCTTCTTTCATTTAGTGATATGCATTTAAGGTTCATTCATGTTTCTTTGTGTCTTATTAGGTCATTTTTTATCAGTGAATAATATTCCACTGTATCAATGTACCACAGTTTGTTTATCCATTCACTTATTAAAGGACATGTTGTCAGCTTCCAGTTTTTGCTACTATGAATAAAGCTGCTATAAACATTTATGTCACATTTTGTGTGGATGTAAGTTTTCAACTCATTTGGGTAAATTCAAAAGAGCATGATTCCTGGTTCCTATGGTAAGACTTTGTAGAAACTGCCACACTGTCTTCCATAGTGGCTGTACCATTTTACATTTCAAGGGCAATGAGTAATGGCTCCTGTTGCTCCACATCCTCCCCAGGATTTGGTGTAGTCAGTGTTTTGGATTTTAGCTATTCTAATAAGTGTATAGTGGTATCTAACTGATTTAATTTTAAATATTCTAATGACATATGATGCTGAATATCTCATATGCTTAATTGTTATCTCTGTATCTTCTCTGATGAGATGTCTATTCGATATTTTGTCCATTTTTTAAACTGCATCTTTTTTTTTATTGTTGAGTTTTAAGAGTGCTTTGTATATTTTGGATAGTAATTCCTTAACAGATATACGTTTTGCAAATATTTTCTCCCTATCAGTGCTTTTCATTTCATTCTCTTAGCAATGTCTTTCACAGAGCAAAAATTTTAAATTTTAATAAGGTTTCACTTATCAATTATTTATGTCACAGATTGTGCCTTTGGTATTGTATCTAAAGAGTCAATAGCAAACCCAAGATTACCTAGAATTTTTCCTATGTCATCTACTAAAATTTTTATGCTTTTCTTTTTACCTTTAGGTTTATAATAAATTTTGAGTTAATTTTTGTGAAATGTCCATGTCTAGATTCATTTATTTTTGCATGGAGATTTCCTGTTGTTCCAGTATAATTTTTTGAAAGATTATCCCCCATTCAATTGTCTTTGTTCCTTTAATCAAGATAAGGTGAATATATTTGTGTGCACCTATTTATTCATGTTCTTTCTGTTTAATTGATCCATTTGACTGTTATGTCACCAATACCACACTATCTTAATTGTTGTAGCTTTATAGTAAGTCTTGAAGTTGGGTCCAGTCGTTCCTCAACTTTGTTCTTCAATGTTGTTCTGGATTTGCCTCTATGTGTAAGCTTTAGAATCAGTTTTTTGTTATCCACAAAGTAACTCTTTTGGATTTTGATTAGGATTTTGTTGAATCTATAGATCAATTGGAAATGAACTGATGTATCTTCACAATATTGAATCTTCCTATCCATCTCCATTTATTTAAATTTTCTTTGATTTATTTCATCGGAGATTTTAGTTTTCCTCAAATGGATTTTATAAATATTTTGTTAGATATATACTTAAGTATCTCACTTTTTTGGAATTAATATAAATGATGTTATGTTTTTAATTCAAATTTCAATTATTCATTGCAAGTATATAGGAAAGTGAATGAAGTGAATGATTTGTGTATATTAACCTTATATTATGCAATCTTCCTATAATCGCGTATTAGTTCAAGAAGCATTTTTGTTAGTTCTTTCAGATTTTCTTCATGACAATCACATTATCTGCAAAGACTGTTTGATTTGTTTCTTCCTAATCTGTTTACTTTTCTCTCCATTTTCTTGTCTTATTGCATTAGCAAGTATTTCCAGCATGAGGCTGAAAATAAATAGTGAGAGGGGGCATCCTTTCCTTGTCCCATATCCAATATCAAACTTTAATGAACAAATAAAATCTAAAATAAGACTTGCTATTGCCTATAACAAAGATATAGAATTTTCTCCATTAATGTCTCACATTTTGAAAGCTCCATCCACCCTACTATTTAATATATCAATATATATTGTTTATAAACAGCTCTGCTATAGTCACTGACAAGCATTACTAGCAACCAGATCAGAATTGTATATGGCTGCACCCTTAAGGCCCAGGGATATAGACAATGATCTTTCCTCACTGCTGAAAACACTGTAAAAAACCCATTGAACCAAAGGAAAATGTAACTTGAATTTATGCAAATAGAATTTCATGAATGGAATATAATTTAGGAAATTTCAAGGCCTATATTAAAATTATAAAAATGAGCTAAATTATGCATTATATCATAGTGACAGATAATGAAACAGATACTTCAACAGTAAAGTTTATAAACCAATTAGGACGTGAGGTAGGTGACATGTCTATAAAGTAATTCGTGCCCAATGTCAATAGTGTTTATTCATCTTCCTATTTACTTGTGACTTCACATGTGTAGTAATAGGACTAATATCTAATGTTTATTATTTTGATCCTTGACTTGCAAAATTTCACAAAAGAAAACAAAATAGAACCCATATAAATATACGGTGTTGAAATTTGTTTCATGGTAGCTGAACAATACCAACAATACCAGAAGAAAGTAATATTGGAATCACAACCTCAATTTTGCTTTACAGATTAGGATTGGCAATACAGAAGCTAGTGTTAATCAAAATTATGGCTGTATGTTTGGCATTATAAAATTTCTATTGTTTCTGGAGCATCTTTTTACTTGAATATAGGTTTATTCTTATTATGAATGATAATTAAACAATTGTATATTTGATTTGCAAATGCAAATGTGGATTACTATAGTTTTCCTCTTTGAAGTAAGAATCCATCATCAATATTATGGGGGGGTGTCAAAGAATGGCAGTTGTTAGGAAGGCAAATGAATTTAATTATTTCCTTCATTTGAACTATAAAAAAATCGTATAATGAATCTGCTAAGAATTATTCTAGAGTCCAGCCCCTAAAAGCAAAAATGTGAGATCACCCAATTTTAGTATTATGCAGCAAATCTACTGTAACAACCAGAACTACTATTTACAGTGCTTTGCCTCTGGCTCATTTAGTAAATGTCAATTTAACTAATCAGAGTTATTATCAGAGTTTTAAAAAATCAGAATTACTATCTCTTTGTAAGTAATATACCTTATAACTGTTTAGGAAAGTTGTCATGGGTACATAAAGAAAGTTTCTTTCAAAATATCCCTTTAATTAGTGACATTAAAACTTAAAGGTGATGTTAAAATTAGAATGGGGTAGTGTTGGGTTCTGCAGTAGTAAGAAGCGTCAGTGGGTGTGCATGTGTGTGCGCGATGTGTGTGCACACGTCTCTGCATTAATCAGGTGGTAATTTTAAGTTGAGGTTTTAATTTTTATTTCCTTTTGCTTTTTTCTTATTAAATAAATTCTTTGTTGAAAACATTTTCTGTTTAATATTAATAATAATAATCCTGAAGTAATTTATTGCTCAAGATATTTTTTTTAAATCTGCACACATTTGAAATAAACTGCCATGGTTGCTCCCTTCCATTATTTTTTCCTGGTCTTCAAGCATAAAACATCAGGGGGGAATGGAGGACTAAATGCTCATCATGCCCCTGCTTTTGGAGAAAGGGTTAGCTGACACCCACTTGTCCCAGCCAACAGACCAGCTTAGCTTACAGCAGTATTCAAAGCTAATCAAATGCCACATCATCTAGTCACTTCAATACCTTTCATTTAAATTCAAAAACAGTGTAATTATTAATCAACCTGGTTATCTCATCTCCAGCAGTGAATAAAATTGCTGTGGATTAGCAGGATTCTGATCAGTAGGATTTCAAAAAAAAAAAAAAAATGTCTTGAATGAGCTTTTGGATGGAAGCAAACAAAAGACAGCCAAAAATTCAAATTGTCATGAGGCTGTTAATGTTCTTCCAGATAGAGAAAATGCAGATCTTTTTGTTGTTTCTGAAATGAAATTGTAATAATGGAAGGGAAATGATGGGTTCTAAGTTAAAGAGGTTTCAGGCCTCATTCATGCAAGTGTCCATGCACAGAAAGAAAACATTCCACTAACTGATTGATTTACTGACTTCTCAAGACTTGTATGTTTTAAAAGCTCTTTTATGTCCGAATATTCTTTTTTTATGTCTGAAATATTCTTGACTAGAAATATACTTCTAAACCTCTATAAGTATCTATATATGAATATATCTTTCTCTAAAAATTTTGACACTGAAAAAATATATATTTGCACATTATATACAACATAATTTGCAATAAAATATTTTATAGAGAAATACCAATTTTTGTCCATTGTGAAAGGAAGTGGGGGAAATAAACTGCCCTCTCTTTCCAAGAAAGAAAAATTGCTACCCCTGTCCTTCCAGACACTTCTAATATCCACTGTCATCCTGATCCACCCATCTAGTTACAGATACATGACCAGTCAGGACCTGTTCCCAGAAAGCCCCATAACACCTTCAATTAGCAATCACCAAAAGCATACTATTGATTAATTAATATAGCCAAATATGTTATCTTTCACACCTATGCATTTCTTTTCACCTCATTCTCCATGACCATTAATAC